CACTCTATTGTTTGTGCTGTATCACTCTATTTGTGTGTGCTGTATCACTCTATTGTTTGTGCTGTATCACTCTATTGTTTGTGCTGTATCACTCTATTGTTTGTGTTGTATCACTCTATTGTTTGTGCTGTATCACTCTATTGTTTGTGCTGTATCACTCTATTGTTTGTGCTGTATCACTCATTCTATTCTATTGTTTGTGCTGTACCACTCTATTGTTTGTGCTGTATCACTCAATTGTTTGTATCACTGTATTGTTTGTGCTGTATCACTTCTATTCTTTGTGTTGTACAACTATTGTTTGTGCTGTATCACTATATTCTTTGTGCTGTATCACTCTATTGTTTGTGCTGTATCACTCTATTGTTTGTGCTGTATCACTCTATTCTTTGTGCTGTATCACTCTATTGTTTGTGCTGTACCACTCTATTGTTTGTGCTGTATCACTTATCTATTGTTTGTGTTTTACCACTCTATTGTTTGTGCTGTATTACTCTATTGTTTGTGCTGTACCAATTTATTGTTTGTGCTGTATCACTCTATTGTTTGTGCTGTATCACTCTATTCTTTGTGCTGTGTCACTCAACTATTGTTTGTGCTGTATCACTCTATTGTTTGTGCTGTATCACTCTATTCTTTGTGCTGTATCACTCTATTCTTTGTGCTGTATCACTCTATTGTTGTGCTGTATCACTCTATTGTTTGTGCTGTACCACTCTCTTGTTTGTGCTGTATCACTGTATTGTTTGTGTTTTACCATTCTATTGTTTGTGCTGTATCACTCTATTGTTTGTGCTGTACCACTCTATTCTTTGTGCTGTATCACTCTTTTGTTTGTGCTGTATCACTCTATTGTTTGTGCTGTATCACTCTATTGTTTCTGTGCTGTATCACTCTATTGTTTGTGCTGTAACACTCTATTGTTTGTGCTGTACAACTCTATTGTTTGTGCTGTGTCACTGTATAGTTTGTGCTGTATCACCCTAATCCTTGTGTTGTACAACTATTGTTTGTGCTGTATCACTCTATTGTTTGTGCTTATCACTCTATTCTTTGTGCTGTACAACTCTATTCTTTGTGCTGTAACAATCTATTGTTTGTGTTGTATCACTCTATTGTTTGTGCTGTACCACTCTATTGTTTGTGGTGTGTCACTGCATTGTTTGTGCTGTATCACTCTATTGTTTGTGCTGTATCACTCTATTGTTTGTGCTGTACAACTGTATTGTTTGTCCTGTATCACTCTATTGTTTGTGCTGTACCAATCTATTGTTTGTGCTGTGTCACTGTATTGTTTGTGTTGTATCGCCCTATTCCTTGTGTTGTACAATTATTGTTTGCTGTACCACTATATTCTTTGTGCTGTATCACTCTTTCGTTTGTGCTGTATCACTCTATTCTTTGTGCTGCATCACTCTATTGCTTCTGCTGTATGACTCTATTGTTTTTGCTGTAACACTCTATTGTTTGTGCTGTATCACTGTATTGTTTATGTTTTACCAATCAATTGTTTGTGCTGTGTCACTGTATTGTTTGTGCTGTATCACCCTATTCTTTGTGTTGTACAACTATTGTTTGTGCTGTACTACTCTATTGTTTGTGCTGTATCACTCTACTCTCTTGTGCTGTATCACTCTGTTGTTTGCGCAGTAACACTCTATTGTTTGTGCTGTATGACTCTATTGTTTGTGCTGTACCAATTTATTGCTTGTGCTGTGTCACTGTATAGTTTGTGCTGTATTACTGTATTGTTTGTGCTGTACCAATCTATTGTTTGTGCTGTGTCACTGTATTGTTTGTGCTCTTTCACACTATTCTTTGTGTTGTACAACTATTGTTTGTGCTGTATCACTCTATTGTTTGAGCTGTATCACTCTATTGTTTGTGCTGTATTACTGTATTGTTTGTGCTGTACCAATCTATTGTTTGTGCTGTGTCACTGTATTGTTTGTGCTCTTTCACACTATTCCTTGTGTTGTACAACTATTGTTTGTGCTTATCACTCTATTCTTTGTGCTGTTTCACTCTCTTGTTTGTGCTGTACCACTCTATAGTTTGTACTGTATCACTCTATTCTTTGTGCTGTACCACTCTATTGTATGTGCTGTATCACTCTGTTCTCTGTGCTGTACAACTCTATTGTTTGTGCTGTATCACTCTATTCTTTGTGTTTTACAACTATGGTTTGTGCTGTATGACTCTATTGTTTGTTCTGTATCACTCTATTGTTTGTGCTGTGTCACACTATTCTTTGTGCTGTATCACCCTGTTCTTTGTGCTGTACCACTCTATTGTTTGTGCTGTACCACTCTACTGTTTGTGCTGTATCACTCTATTCTGTGTGCTGTATCACTCAATTCTTTGTGCTTATCACTCTATTCTTTGTGCTGCATCACTCTATTTTTTGTTTTGTATTTCTCTACTGTTTGTTCTTACCCCTCTATTGTTTGTGCTATATCACTCTATTGTTTGTGCTGTACCAATCTATTGTTTGTGTTGTGTCACTGCATTGTTTGTGCCGTATCAGTCAATTGTTTGTGCTGTATCAGTCTATTGTTTGTGCTGTATCACTCTATTCTTTGTGCTGTATCACTCTACTATTTGTGCTGTACCAATCTATTGTTTGTGCTGTGTCACTGTATTGTTTGTGCTGTATCACCCTATTCTTTGTGCTGTATCACTCTTTCGTTTGTGCTGTATCCCTCCATTCTTTGTGCTGTATCACTCTATTCTTTGTGATGTATCACATAGTGGTATGGCACAAGCAGTGGACTGGTACACCACAACCAGTAGAGTGGTACACCTCAAGCAGTAGAATAGTATGGCAGAAGCAGGAGAATGGTATGGCAGAAGCAGTAGAGAAGTACGGCACAAGCAACGGAGTCGTATGGCACAAGCAGTACAGTGGTACACCACAACAAATAGAGTGGTATGGCACAAGGAGTAGAGTGGTATGGCACAAGCATTATAGTGGTATGGCACAACCAGTAGAGTGGTACACCACAACCAGTAGAGTGGTACACCACAACCAGTAGAGTGGTACACCACAAGCAGCGGAGAGGTATGGCACAAGCAGTGGAACGGTACACCACAACCAGTAAAGCGGTACACCACAACCAGTAGAGTGGTACACAACAACCAGTAGAGTGGTACACCACAAGCAGTGGAGAGGTATGGCACAAGCAGTGGAGCGGTACACCACAACCAGTAGAGTGGTATACCTCAAGCAGTAGAATGGTATGGCAGAAGCAGGAAAATGGTATGGCAGAAGCAGTAGAGAAATACGGCACAAGCAACGGAGTCGTATGGCACAAGCTGTACAGTGGTACACCACAACAAATAGAGTGGTATGGCACAAGGAGTAGAGTGGTATGGCACAAGCAATACAATGGTACACCACTACCAATAGAGAGGTATGACACAAGCAGTGGAGTGGTATCACAAGCAGTGGAGTGGTATGGCACATGCAGTGGAGTGGTATGGCACAACCAGTGGAGCGGTACATCACAACCAGTGGTGTGGTCCACCACACGCTATAGAGTGGTATGGCACAAGCAGTATAGTGGTATGGCACAAGCAGTGGAGTGGTATGGCACAAGCAGTAGAGTGGTATGGCACAATCAGTGGAGTGGTACACCACACGCAGTAAAGTGGTATGGCACAACCAGTATAGTGGTATGGCACAAGTAGTAGAGTGGTATGGCTCAAGAAGTATAGTGGTATGGCACAACCAGTGAAGTGGTACACCACAACCAGTAGACTGGTACACCACAACCAATAGACTGGTACACCACAAGCAGTGGAGAGGTATGGCAAAAGCAGTGGAGCGGTATACCACAACCAGTAGAGTGGTATGGCACAAGCAGTAGAGTGGTACAGCACAAGCAGTAGAGTGGTATGCCACAAGCAGTAGAACAGTATTGCAGAAGCAGTAGAGCGGTGCGGCACAAGCAGCGGAGTGGTATGGCACAAGCAGTAGAGTGGTACAGCACAAGCAGTAGAGTGGTATGCCACAAGCAGTAGAGTGGTATGGCACAAGCAGTGGAGAGGTATGACACAAGCAGTAGAGTGGTACACCACAACCAGTAGAGTGGTACACCACAAGCAGTAGAGTGGTATGACACAAGCAGTAGAGTGGTATGGCACAAGCAGTGGATTGGTATATCACAAGCAGTAAAGTGCTACACCACAACCAGTAGAGTGGTACACCACAAGCTGTAGAGTGGTATGCCACAAGCAGTAGAGTGGTATGCCACAAGCAGTGGATTGGTATGGCACAAGCAGTAAAGTGGTATGGCACAAGCAGTAAAATGGTATGGCAGGAGCAGTAGAATGGTATGGCAGAAACAGTAGAGTGGTATGGCACAAGCAGTAAAATGGTATGGCAGGAGCAGTAGAGTGGTACACCACAAGCAGTAGAGTGGTATGCCACAAGCGGTAGAGTGGTATGGCACAAGCAGTGGAGAGGTATGGCACAAGCAGTGGGGTGGTACACCACAACCAGTAGAATGGTATGGCACAAGCAGTAGAGTGGTATGGCACAAGCAGTAAAATGGTATGGCAGGAGCAGTAGAATGGTATGGCAGAAACAGTAGAGTGGTACACCACAAGCAGTGGAGTGGTACACCTCAAGCAGTAGAGTCGTACCCCACAAGGAGTAGAATGGTATGGCAGAAGCAGTAGAGCGGTACGGCACAAGCAGTGGAGCGGTATGGCACAAGCAGTTGAGCGGTACACCACAATTAGTAGAGGGGTAACCACAAGCAGTGGAGCGGTATGGCACAAGCAGTAGAGTGGTACACCACAAGCAGTAGAGCGGTATGGCACAAGCAGTAGAGTGGTATGGCACAAGCAGTAGAGTGGTATGGCACAAGCAGTAGAGTGGTACGCCACAACCAGTAGAGCGGTATGCACAAGCACAAGCACAAGCACCTTTTGACTTGTCAGACTTTACGTGTAAAGCACAATCAGACCGACAGACAACTATCTGTAGTCATGTGAATAATTAGTGTGACGCCATTACATTTCAGCTATAGCTGTTAGCTTCAACGACTTGCTGAAAGAGTACTCAAGGAAAGTTAGAGGTAAGTAAACGTTTGCTTCACATCAAGCAGTTGGTCGGATGTAATGGAACATCTATGTGGTGCCATACGTGCAAATTGGTCCGCATCAAACTCGAGATACGAAGATCTGTTTGATTGGCATTTAGAAGTTGGTGACTAATAAGAAAGTAAGAGAGTTTATGGATAACAACTTCTTTATTATATATGATGCGACGTTTCGGTATGGATTCTTATACCGTTGTCAAGCAAGAGTGAAGTACTACAGCACAGAACAGACTTATATACATGAACAGGGATTAAGTAATAACAACATGTAGGAATGAATCAAGGGGATTAACAACAACAACAAGGCACGGTGGCAATAATGTAGTGACAATAGGAAGCCAATGGTGGTGGAGGTAGAAACAAAATATACATGCTGATGAGATTAATTAACAATGATAGCTGAAGTGCTCTAATCTGTTGTTTTTATCAGTTCATTGTAAGCAGAAGGGATGAGATATCCCTGGTCTCTTTTGATTGAGGGCTTGTGTCTCCGGATTTGAACTGCTTCTGCAAGTTTCCTTTTGGTGAAGTCCTGGTGTTTTTTGGATAATATCTCGACATTGTCCCAAATTATATATCTCACCTGGGGAGATGACTACTATGAACAAATCCACGGCCTGCCCATGGGCTCCCCTCTGTCCCCAATACTCACAGAAATCTACATGACCTCCTTCGAACAGCAAGCACTCAGCACCTCAACCATCAAACCAACCTGCTGGTACAGGAAGGTCGATGACACGTTTGTCATTCTTCGGCAAGACCAAGACCCAGCAGCCCTTCTGCAACATCTCAACCAACAGCACCCCCGGGTCCAATTCACCTTAGAAACAGAATCCAGTGGTCAACTTCCCTTTCTAGATGTCCTTGTAACCAGAACCCCAGCCAACAAGATCCAAACCAGTGTCTATAGAAAGCCAACCCACTCCGACCAATACATTCATTTTGACTCCAACCACCCCTTGAGAACCAAAACTGGCATTATCTCCACCCTCACCAGACGAGCCATCAACCTTTCCTCCACCAGTCCCACTACAGAAATACAGCACCTCCGCCATGTTTTCACCAAGTTCAACCACTACCCGTCAAAACTAGTCGATGAAATAATGAAAACCGCCTCCAACAAACCTGAAACAGCACCTATTCGTATCTCCCTCCCCTTCATAGGGAAGACCTCTCACTACATCAGCCGTCTCCAGCATCCAAACCTACTTTACCAGCTCTACACCACTGAAAACCCTACTGAAAGCTAACGGCAGGAACACCTCTAAACGACAACATCAACCCAAAGGTGTTGTCTATAAAATCAACTGTGACTGTGGCGAGGCCTATGTAGGCGAAACCTCCCGGCCAATAAATATCAGAATCAAAGAACACTTATCATCTACCACTAAATCTGACAGAAAATCGGCAATATCAGACCACATCATCAACTGCCCCAATCACAACTTAATTCTGGACAATGTGGAGATATTATCCAAAAACCACCAGGACTTCACCGAAAGGAAACTTGCAGAAGCAGTTCAAATCCGGAGACACAAGCCCTCAATCAACAGAGACCAGGGATATCTCATCCCTTCTGCATACAATGAACTGATAAAAACAACAGATTAGAGCACTTCAGCTATCATTGTTAATTAATCTCATCAGCATGTATATTTTGTTTCTACCTTCACCATCATTGGCTTCCTTTTGTCACTACATTATTGCCACCGTGCCTTGTTGTTGTTGTTAATCCCCTTGATTCATTCCTACATGTTGTTATTACTTAATCCCTGTTCATGTATATAAGTCTGTTCTGTGCTGTAGTACTTCACTCTTGCTTGACAACGGTATAAGAATCCATACCGAAACGTCGCATCATATATAATAAAGAAGCTGTTATCCATAAACTCTCTTACTTTCTTATCGAGAGACGAAGGTTAATGTCATGCTCCTCTCCAACACTCTGTGTGTGTGCGTGCATGCGAGTGTGCGCGTGTGTGCATGTGCGTGTGTTTGTGTGTGAGTGTGTTTAGGGATGGGGATGGGGATTGGGAGGGATTATAACACCTTTCCTTGTTGTTTCTTAGTGTTGTATCAACTTAGTTTCTACTTGGGAACCAACAACGGAAATAAAGGAACAATGGGTCAATAATAATGATTATAATGATCAAATCATTAAATAAAGGTTAGTTTTATGATAAACATGGAGACATTATATGATCAATGAGGTATGTTATATATAATTGTACTTACACTTGTGTTTTCATGATCTAACAGATCTTCAACATGCGGGACAATGGATGAACAATCAAGTGAATCTATGTGAAGAGGAATCATACCCTGGTCAGACAAGTTTTCATTTTATGCATCGAAATTATTCCAAATTGCATAAAGGACAAAATAGTGATGAAAGTTATAAGAGTGGATGACAAATGAATCAGTAAAACAGTAAGTGCTGTGGCCAAGAAGAAGCTCTCTGTTTATTTGTTGTTTTACGCCGCACTCAGCAATATTCCAGCTATATGGTTGCGGTCTGTAAATAATCGAGTCTGGACCACTCAATCCAGTGATCAACATCATGAGCATTGATCTACGTAAGTAGGATATGGTGACATGTGTCATACAAGTCTGACTACCCGATCTCGTTAGTCTCCTCTTGGGACAAGCATGGGTTGCTGAAAACCAATTCTAACCTGGATGTTCACGGGCAAGGAGTTACGGAAACGCCACCATCAAAGGCAACATGGCGTTTCAGTGAATTCTTCTGAATGGCGTCCTTATAACTTGTGGAACGACATGTGGTGAGCTTGGTAGCCATCAAACTGTATTGTCTGGTTCCTTTCAGGGAGGGCCTGTGTTGAACCAAGCTGCCCAGCACGGCAGTCCACAACACTGGAAGAAAACCTGAGAAGTGTCCTGTCTACCATGTCGGAACGAAATCTCCAGGATCTGGACCTAATAATGGGACTGTTCCCAGAGCCTCCTACCGGCGAAAGAACAATGTTTGTCACAGCAACATCCAGCAACCACTTCTACGAGTCCCAGGCCCTGATCCGAAACCTCCACAGGAATGTCTTCCCTCTGATTAATGACTACACATTTGTGCTCTATGATCTGGGACTGACGGCATCTGAACGAAAGCAGGTGAAACCAATAATATTGTCTCCAATAGATATATCTGTAACATTTATTTTATGTATGATGATCAGTATTGACTAATGTTAGCAAAGCAATTGGTTTACCATTGCTTAAAGGGAGAGGAAATGGACTGTAGAGAAGCCTAGTGGTTACAGCGTTCATTCATCACGCCGAAGACTCAGGTTCGATTCCCCACATGGGTACACAGTGTGAAGCTCATTCTTGTGTCCCCGCCTTGATATTACTGGAATATTGCTAAAAGTGCCGCAAAACTAAAATTTGCTCACTCACAAAAAGGAAATACATACATACATACACACACACACACACACACATATACATATATACATACACACACGCATACACACACACACATACACACATACATACATATACACACCCACACACATACATACCATACCATACCATACCATACCATACCATACCATACCATACCATACCATACCATACCATACCATACCATACCATACCATACCATACCATACCATACCATACCATACCATACCATAGCATACCATACCATAGCATAGCATAACATAACATAACATAACATAACATAACATAACATAACATAACATAACACATAACATAACATAACATAACATAACATAACATAACATAACATAACATAACATAACATACATACATACATACATAACATACATACATACATACATACATACATACATACATACATACATACATACATACATACATACATACATACATACATACATACATACATACATACATACATACATACATACATACATACATACATACACACACACATACACACACATACATACATACATACACACACATACATACATACATACATACATACATACATACACACACATACATACATACATACATACATACATACATCGTTTTATAGTGCTAGCTCACTGAGATACCATGCCGCAGTGAAGCATGAATACCCCACTCAGACACATTATACTGACTCCGAGCCGACCAGTCCCTGTTGTGCCCATTAATGCCGAGCGCCAGGCAGGGACCAACAAGTACCATATTTTAACGTCTTTTGGTATGACGCGGTAGGGGATCGAACCCGCGACCTTCCGCTCTTCGGGCGGACGATCTAAACACTTCACCACGGAGGCGGTAAATACATAACAAACATAATACAATACAAGTACATAATGGACATTATATAAAACATTGGCATAATGATATAATACAAAACAATGACGGTAAACATAATGCAAAACAATTACATTAAGAACATGATATAACAATTACAAAATGAACAGAATACAAAACAATGACTTTATGAACATATTACTAAACACTGACATGATCAATATAATGCAAAACATGACATAATAAACATAATACAAAACAATAACACAATGAACATGATACAAAACAATGACATAATGAACATAATACTAAGCAATGACACAATGAACATGACACAAAACAATGACAAAATGAAATAATAGAAATCAATTACACAATGAACATGATACAAAACAATGACATAATGAACATAATACTAAGCAATTACACAATGAACATTAAACAAAACAATGACAAAATGAAATTAATAGAAATCAATAACACAATGAACATGATACAAAACAATGACATAATGAACATAATACTAAGCAATTGCACAATGAACATGATACAAAACAATGACAAAATGAAGATAATACTAAGCAATTGCACAATGAACATGAATACAAAACAATGACAAAATGAAGATAATAGAAATCAATAACGCAATGAACATGATACAAAACAATGACATAATGAACATAATACTAAGCAATTGCACAATGAACATGATACCAAACAATGACAAAATGAAGATAATAGAAATCAATTACACAATGAACATGATACAAAACAATGACATAATGAACATAATACTAAGCAATTGCACAATGAACATGATACCAAACAATGACATAATGAACATAATACTAAGCAACTATACAATAAACATGACACAAAACAATGACATAATGAACATAATACTAAGCAATTCCACAATGAACATGATACCAAACAATGACAAAATGAACATAATACTAAGCAACTACACAATAGACATGATACAACACAATGACAAAATGAACATAATACTAAGCAATTGCACAATGAACATGATAGAAAACAATGACAAAATGAAGATAATAGAAATCAATTACACAATGAACATGATACAACACAATGACATAATGAACATAATACTAAGCAATGACACAATGAACATGATACCAAACAATGACAAAATGAAGATAATAGAAATCAATTACACAATGAACATGATACAAAACAATGACATAATGAACATAATACTAAGCAATTACACAATGAACATGATAGAAAACAATGACAAAATGAAGATAATAGAAATCAATTACACAATGAACATGATACAAAACAATGACATAATGAACATAATACTAAGCAATTACACAATGAACATGATACAAAACAATGACATAATGAACATAATACTAAGCAATGACACAATGAACATGACACAAAACAATGACAAAATGAAATAATAGAAATCAATTACACAATGAACATGATACAAAACAATGACATAATGAACATAATACTAAGCAATTGCACAATGAACATTAAACAAAACAATGACAAAATGAAGATAATAGAAATCAATAACGCAATGAACATGATACAAAACAATGACATAATGAACATAATACTAAGCAATTGCACAATGAACATGATACCAAACAATGACAAAATGAAGATAATACTAAGCAATTGCACAATGAACATAATACAAAACAATGACAAAATGAAGATAATAGAAATCAATAACGCAATGAACATGATACAAAACAATGACATAATGAACATAATACTAAGCAATTGCACAATGAACATGATACCAAACAATGACAAAATGAAGATAATAGAAATCAATTACACAATGAACATGATACAAAACAATGACATAATGAACATAATACTAAGCAATTGCACAATGAACATGATACCAAACAATGACATAATGAACATAATACTAAGCAACTATACAATAAACATGACACAAAACAATGACATAATGAACATAATACTAAGCAATTCCACAATGAACATGATACAAACAATGACAAAATGAACATAATACTAAGCAACTACACAATAGACATGATACAACACAATGACAAAATGAACATAATACTAAGCAATTGCACAATGAACATGATAGAAAACAATGACAAAATGAAGATAATAGAAATCAATTACACAATGAACATGATACAACACAATGACATAATGAACATAATACTAAGCAATGACACAATGAACATGATACCAAACAATGACAAAATGAAGATAATAGAAATCAATTACACAATGAACATGATACAAAACAATGACATAATGAACATAATACTAAGCAATTGCACAATGAACATGATAGAAAACAATGACAAAATGAAGATAATAGAAATCAATTACACAATGAACATGATACAAAACAATGACATAATGAACATAATACTAAGCAATTACACAATGAACATGATACAAAACAATGACAAAATGAACATAATACTAAGCAACTACACAATAGACATGATACAACACAATGACAAAATGAACATAATACTAAGCAACTACACAATGAACATGATACAAAACAATGACATAATGAACATAATACTAAGCAATTGCACAATGAACATGATACCAAACAATGACAAAATGAAGATAATACAAATCAATAACGCAATGAACATGATACAAAACAATGACATAATGAACATAATACTAAGCAATTGCACAATGAACATTAAACAAAACAATGACAAAATGAAGATAATAGAAATCAATAACGCAATGAACATGATACAAAACAGTGACATAATGAACATAATACTAAGCAATTGCACAATGAACATGATACCAAACAATGACAAAATGAAGATAATACTAAGCAATTGCACAATGAACATTAAACAAAACAATGACAAAATGAAGATAATAGAAATCAATAACACAATGAACATGATACAAAACAATGACATAATGAACATAATACTAAGCAATTCCACAATGAACATGATACCAAACAATGACAAAATGAACATAATACTAAGCAACTACACAATAGACATGATACAACACAATGACAAAATGAACATAATACTAAGCAATTGCACAATGAACATGATAGAAAACAATGACAAAATGAAGATAATAGAAATCAATTCAGCACAATGAACATGATACAACACAATGACATAATGAACATAATACTAAGCAATGACACAATGAACATGATACCAAACAATGACAAAATGAAGATAATAGAAATCAATTACACAATGAACATGATACAAAACAATGACATAATGAACATAATACTAGCAATTACACAATGAACATGATACAAACAATGACAAAATGAGAGATAATAGAAATCAATTACACAATGAACATGATACAAAACAATGACATAATGAACATAATACTAAGCAATTACACAATGAACATGATACAAAACAATGACAAAATGAACATAATACTAAGCAACTACACAATAGACATGATACAAAACAATGACATAATGAACATAATACTAAGCAATTGCACAATGAACATGATAGAAAACAATGACAAAATGAAGATAATAGAAATCAATAACGCAATGAACATGATACAAAACAATGACATAATGAACATAATACTAAGCAATTACACAATGAACATGATACCAAACAATGACAAAATGAACATAATACTAAGCAACTACACAATAGACATGATACAACACAATGACAAAATGAAGATAATAGAAATCAATTACACAATGAACATGATACAAAACAATGACATAATGAACATAATACTAAGCAGTTACACAATGAACATGACACAACACAATGACAAAATGAACATAATACTAAGCAATTGCACAATGAACATGATAGAAAACAATGACAAAATGAAGATAATAGAAATCAATTACACAATGAACATGATACAACACAATGACATAATGAACATAATACTAAGCAATGACACAATGAACATGATACCAAACGATGACAAAATGAAGATAATAGAAATCAATTACACAATGAACATGATACAAAACAATGACATAATGAACATAATACTAAGCAATTGCACAATGAACATGATACCAAACAATGACAAAATGAAGATAATAGAAATCAATTACACAATGAACATGATACAAAACAATGACATAATGAACATAATACTAAGCAATTACACAATGAACATGATACAAAACAATGACAAAATGAACATAATACTAAGCAACTACACAATAGACATGATACAAAACAATGACATAATGAACATAATACTAAGCAATTGCACAATGAACATGATAGAAAACAATGACAAAAATGAAGATAATAGAAACTCATCACGCAATGAACATGATACAAAAACAATGACATAATGAACATAATACTAAGCAATTACACAATGAACATGATACAAAAACAATGACAAAATGAACATAATACTAAGCAACTACACAATGAACATGATACAACACAATGACAAAATGAAGATAATAAAAGAAATCAATTACACAATGAACATGATACAAAACAATGACATAATGAACATAATACTAAGCAATTACACAATGAACATAATACAAAACAATGACAAAATGAAGATAATAGAAATCAATTACACAATGAACATGATACAAAACAATGACATAATGAACATAATACTAAGCAATTACACAATGAACATAATACAAAACAATGACAAAATGAAGATAATAGAAATCAATTACAAATGAATGACACAAAACAATGACATAATGAACATAATACTAAGCAATTACACAATGAACATAATACAAAACAATGACAAAATGAAGATAATAGAAATCAATTACACAATGAACATAATACAAAACAATGACAAAATGAAGATAATAGAAATCAATGACATCAAATAACAATAATTCTTCAAAACACAAAATGCAGTTAGCAACCAGTATGAATTATCTTCACGTGATAACAATACTTTGGATATTATTAATTATCAGTATACATGTTTACTGTTTACATTTACTCAGTTGCGTTGCCTCTGCAGGTGTTTGTGATATTGTCATCAATATATTCGTATAATGAATACGGAATGGTACCACAGAACACATCTTTTCTGACGATTATAGAAATATTTTTGTCTCCTTTATTCACAGATGGAGAAACATTGTCGTTGTGAAGTTCGGAGATTCCCGTTGGAGTTCATGCCTTCAAGGTTGCAGAATCTTAAATGCTACATATGGAAACCGATTATTATACAGGTGAGCTATGTTCTGTTGCCGTACATTAACATGTGCATTTTCAGGAGAAAATATAAAATTCATTGAATATTTTCCAGTATAAGATGTATATAGACTTTAGGCAAACAGTTTTAAGCAACATATCAGCGCATATAAATCCGTACGTAACCTTGTCTGTGCATGCAGTTCGGAGATAAACCCGTGAATATATACTGTAGAGTATACCTGTAAACACAACGGCGGTAAACTGAACGAAGAACTGAACACAGAGATTAATTGTTTTCAGGTTATCATTACAAATCTGAACTGTTTGGTGTCAGCAGGGATGATGAGTGAGAGAGGATGACTCCAGACAATTACACTATGTACATGTGCAAGCTTGTTTTGACCATTAATGTATTATATAATCACATAGTTTCAATCTCTGTGTTTTCCTTGACTTTTCAAAGTATTCCCCCGAACGTACACTTATATGTATTTAGAGTCAATTACTTCCTGCCTAAAATAAATGACCAAACATATTTTTGTGATTGTAAGTGCCCCATTCTTTCTCCTCATATGGGCCGCTCGTCACGCTGAAGACCTGGGTTCGATTCCCCATATGGGTACAAAGTGTGGAGTCCATTTCTGGTGTCTCCCGCTGTGATATTGCTGGAATATTGCTAAAAGCGGCGTAAAATCATACTCACTCACTCTTCATATCGTAGTTGTTTCTACGCTGGGGTAAAATCGATCAGACTGTTTTTGCGAAGATTTCAAAGATGGTCATTTGATACTTGCGCTGTGTTTTTTTGGCCAGGGTTAGTGTCTTCAAAGCCTACATAAAGTTTTCAAAACGTTTTATGGTGGACATGTGTTTTGTATTTCTTTAGTTTGGCGCATCAGTGACCGAAATAGTGTATGATGCAATTCTCATTTTCGACTTGCACCATATATCAACAACAGCTCAGATACATTTTCTCCCTCTGTTGTTGTAGGCTAACATACATAAGGCAGACATACTGGTGTCGATGGACGCGTCTGTAACATCTTAGGCTAGGTATTATATCTAGGTGTTGTACTTTCAGACTAACCTACATAAGACAGACATACTAGTGTGGATGGACGCGTCTGTAACATCTTAGTATAGGTTTGCATCTAGTTGTTGTACTCTCAGGCTAACCTACATAAGGCAGACATACTGGTGTGGATGGACGCGTCTATAACATCTTAGTATAGGTTTGCATCTAGTTGTTGTACTTCCAGGCTAACCTACATAAGGCAGACATGTTAGTGTGGATGGACGCGTCTGTAACATCTTAGTATAGGTTTGCATCTAGTTGTTGTACTTTCAGGCGAACCTACATAAGGCAGACATACTGGTGTGGATGGACGCATCTGTGAGGTTCTCCAACAGTATCATCAAATCCCTGCTAGATGATGCAGAGAGACGAGGCATGGTCTTAGCCTCAGGTACAAACTCTGTGGCACAGCACACTCTACAGGTTACAATGAACTACATGAAGGAAGACGTCTGCACCCTAGCTCCAGTGTTAGAGCATGAAGCAACATTCATCATGTTTCACAACGAGCAGTTGATACAAGAGGCCGTTATGAAACCATGGGCAGCTTGTGCCATGAGTGCTAAGTGCATGTGTCCTCGGGATCCAGAACAAGACAGCTTCTGTGACGTGAACATCCACAAATACAAGAAATGTCATCGATTTGACCAATCAGGAATAAACATCATCCTCGCCAAACTTTTTCGGGACCACACAAGTAGTTTTATTTCGCCATACTACTACTATGTCAGTTTACAGCGTGATGATTCTTATCTTTATTTTTGATGAACTGGAGAAATGGCATGCAGCGCGGGCTAGTCGTCTCCCTTGACAATAGATCTGTTGTACTGTATTCTTAGGACCAGCTTTGCTTAGGGTTTGGTGTATAGAAATATTCCAAGTATTCCAGAGTATTCTGAGACATTCGGAGCATTCTGAGACTTTCTGAGTCATTCTGCACATTCTTAGTTTTGTGAGACATATGTAGAATAAAGACATTATGTTACTTCGGAACATTTCAGAACCGGATGTTATTAACAAAAGGAACCCCGAAAGGATGAAACCTGTGGCATTGCTCTGGAATGAGTAAATTCACCTATCAGAGAACTTTCATTTCGAAACCCGTGTGTCGAATGTCTTTGGTTCCGCCTGAAAAAGGTTTCGACTTGCCAATTACCAAGACGCAATAGATGCCGCCTAACAACCTCGATAATCTGCAGGGTATACGTTACAATCACTCTCCACTATACCCTGGATGCATCCACGGCTTGGCCCGATGATTATGTTACAGCAATCTAACCCACTCAGCCAACGCCTTCTCCACAAAAGCGTAAGTCGGACATCTGGTAGTCCAGATCACTAGAAACAATAAAAGGAATGTAAAAGTTGGCTGTTGTTATACTGTTTTATACATTTGCTTTTACGAAAATGTCAAAGGTCCAACGCACAGCGCTAGGTGGGAGAATGTATAAAGATAACAATATAATTACGAAGCCAATTAGATAGGATTAATATACAAAGATAACAATGTTAGGATGAAGCCATTGAGATAAACGGTAATATAATGTAACACGGCGGTGATTATAGAACAATGGAGTATACACTGGGAAGGTAAATGCCTTTGTCTCGGTTAATGGCTGGCTTCTTTATCTGGATCTCGATGTTTTCTTGACGTTAACTCTTTGTACAGTGGTTGATGCTGATATGTAGAATCCTGGTTTGTTTTCAGGAAATATTTGAACACAACCCCCACACTTGGCTTTGTCACTACAATATATTGGTATCTTTGTACATTAATCCTATCTAATTTTCTTCGTAATTACATGTATATTGTTATCTTTGCACATTCTCCCACTTTGTTTTATCTAGATATATTCACTCTGTACACTGACTCGGCATTCACCTGATGAAAGAGCAAACATTAGCTCTGAAACGTCGTATAAAGAATAAAAAGAAGTTGTTGTCCATAAAATCGTGTCATGAATGAATGAATGAATGAAGCACGAGTCAGCACGGCTGTACGCGTGCCTCTGTTGATGATAAAGCATCCTGTACAAAGTAAATATTTCCAAGACGCTTGAATGTGGTCCAGTGAATAACTTTCGAATGCGGTGGAGGTGTAGTATGTGTAGTATGTGTCATTAAGAACAGTGACCCATAAAGATTCGGGTTAGAATTGGCTTTCAGCAATCCATGCTTGTCGTAAAAGGCGACTAACGGGATCGGGTGATCAGGCTCGCTGACTTTGTTGACATGTCATCGCATCCCAATTGTGTAGATCGATGATCATGCTGTTGATCACAAACATATCACACAGCTGGAATATTGCTGAGTGTGGCGACAAACAAAAAACACTGTGAAGAATGAAAGCATATTCTGAGATCTCACCGGTTGTACAAACCTCGTAATCCTATTTTTATTCAACAATGAGCCACCCTAATTAGGTTGTGAGATACCAATAAAAGCATAAAATAACATTGAGAACATGAAAAAAAACACTCCAAAACACACACGCACCCACGCGCACGCACACACACACATACCAGCCATACAGACAATATTAACATCGTTGGTGCACACATTCATATGCAAATACACGTTTGATACCTGTGATACCATAAACACTGAAGTAATATATAAACAATAACACACCTGGAATAGAGCACACATTCGTGTACTGTTATGTTAACCATAAACATATTTTATACCTGTGATACCATAAACACTGAAGTAATATATAAACAATAACACCCCTGGAATAGAGCACACATTCGTGTAGTGTTATGTTAACCATGAACATATTTGATACATGTGATACCATAAACACTGAAGTAATATATAAACAATAACACACCTCGAATAGAGCACACATTCGTGTACTGTTATGTTAACCATGAACATATTTGATACCTGTGATACCATAAACACTGAAGTAATATATAAACGATAACACCCCTGGAATAGAGCACACATTCGTGTACTGAAATCTTAACCATGAACATATTTGATACATGTGATACCATAAACACTGAAGTAATATATAAACAATAACACACCTCGAATAGAGCACACATTCGTGTACTGAAATGTTAACCATGAACATATTTGATACCTGTGATACCATAAACACTGAAGTAATATATAAACAATAACACACCTGGAATAAAACACATATTCGTGTACTGTAATGGTAACCGTGTACATATTTTGTATGGTAATATACGTATCCAATATCTGGTATCCCCCGCCGTGGTATTGCTCAAAGCTGCGTAAAACTTAACTCACTCACTCTCACAACATCCCTCCATTTCTGTCCTCCCTTCTTCCACTCTAAGGAAAGCAAGCAGTTTTGATGTAACAGTATGAATCAGAATGAATAAAATGAATCGTCAAAACCACTGTAACAGTTTCATTGCATTGCCATTATGCCCCAGGCAGTCCAATTCCCTGTAAAAGGTTCTGGTATTTCAAGATAAATTAAACCAAGTTACATGAGTCATGTTTCCTAGTGAACCTGAGTAATGAATTGATAGTAGACTCCACTGAGTCGGCTCCAGGTCGAGACCATAGCTGCAACTCCAGCATCGAGCTCACCATGTCGGCTTTTTGTGCGTTGAACACATGCATCATGACTGCCCTCTTGATCTCCTCTTGGCTTGCACAATGAAACATCCCATTTGATTGTGGGAGGACTGGGTACAGTAACGTTTTATTCTTTACATGGAAGGTCTGCAAAGAATGCATGGCGTAGAAGAGTACTCCAAGAGAGAAAACATCACTGGCTGTGGAATAATGACCTGTGAATACGTCAGGGGCGACATACAGAGGGGTACACAAGCCGGTAGTCATGTAGTAGGTGTAGGAGATGGTTGCCAGGTTACTAAATGGAAAGGTCAAACGAGCAAGTCCCGCATCAGCAATCTTGCAGGTGGGTATATGATGAGCTCGGGCCACCAGCAGGACGTTGCTGGGTTTGATGTCTCTGTGGATGATCCTTTGTCTGTGGAGATGGTGAATACCCCGTGCCATGTCCAGCATGAAATAATTTAACGTTCCCTCTCCTGGCCTGTTTTTGATGACATAGTCATTCAGTGTCCCAAGGTTACAGTACTCCATTTGAATATTAATCTCAACATCAATCCGCGCTGTAATCACTTTTACGATATTAGGGTGATCAGCGCACATCGTCAGTGTCCGTAATTCTCCCTCGAGACGTTTACCATCCAGGTGGGACACCTCCTTCAGTTTCTTCAGAGCATATACATGACCACCGATCGCCAACTCGTACACAGCACCAAACTGACCTTCTCCAAGTTTTCCATACATTGCATTATAGGTCACCTTACAAATTTAATTCAATGTTGATCGAAAGCTGGTAGCTATTTCTCAGCTTTGAATGCTACAAGTTCACGTTACAGTGGATGTCACTCAATACCCATTATGAAAGTAGCAGTTCAGGAGGGAAACTATGCATGTCTTACTGGGATAGCTGTAGCTCGCTCCTCGACATACCACCACCGCATACATTGTACATAGAACGGTGTAAATATAGACTGGCTGGTGAGGTCAAATATAGGTTGAGCGGCTTATCCTGTGCCTTGAAGTGCTGGGCTCGAGCACATCCTTCCGAAGGATTACACGTTAACATTGGATTCTTATCATAATATTACAGACAAACGGGATCGGGTGATTAGACTCACATGTCATCGTATCCTAATGGCGTAGATCGATGATTATGCTTTTGATCACCGGATTGTCTGGTCTAGACTCGATTAAATACACACCACCGCCATATAGCTGGAAAAGTGCTGATTGCGGCGTTAAACAACAAACAAACACAATATTACATATCTGTATTTCTCATAGTTTTGACAATGAATCAAGTAAATGAATGTCTGTTAGAATAAGTGTATGAAGACATGTTTCAAGACTTTATAAGTAAACAGTTTGTTTGTATGTACGCCTTACTAATACTATCTGTCGCACGTGATGAAATTAGTGATTTCTCAGTGATGTCCAACGTTCAGGTTTGCATGCATTTCTTCTTCACTCGTGGTAGGGGCGGTGGGGTAGCCTAGTGGTTAAAGCGTTCGCTCGTCATGCCAAAAAACCCGGGTTCGATTCCCCACATGGGTAAAATGTGTGGAGCCATTTCTGGTGTCCTCGTGATATTGCCGGAATGATGCTAAAAGCTGCCTAAATCTAGGAATGTGAAAAGGGGTGATAAGGGGTGATAAATGACAGGTTTGATAAATCAAAACTCACTCACTCACTCACCCGGGATAGATCACTGACACACAAACAACACATGATTCATGTGAATGCATGTCAGCGTGACCCAGATATGACCCAGCTTTGATAGGTCCGCCTGTACAAACCAGTAAATCTCTTCCTGCGTTGATATGAATACATCATCTCACATTCTTAACGCGAATTTCTGAGGAATCTAATTTATTGTTTTACAGCCTAAATAAGGAGTTCTATGGAACTGTCACGCCGTCAACTAGTGACGCTCCAAGGCAATACGGGACGGTGGGGTAGCCTAGTGGTTAAAGCGTTCGCTCGTCACGCCGAAGATCGAAGATCGGGTTCGATTCCCACAATTGGGTACAATGTGAGCAGTCCATTTCAGGTTCCCCGCAGTGATATTGCTGGAATATTGCTTAAAGCGACGTAAAGCTATACTCTCTCACTCCAAGGAAATACAGTTTATAGATGATTCCACTCGGTGGACAAATGACAGGTTTGATAAAGCATCACCAGTTGGTTAAACAGTCCGGCCATAATCATAATCATGCAGTTCGTAAATATTATTTTTTTTTGAATGGTGGTACACGCTTGACAAAGCTCAGTTCTTATTCGGTAGTTTGTCATGTCCATGGGGCTGCCTGTGAAGATCTGGGTTAGAATTGATCTTCAGCAGGCAAGGTGTCACCAGGTGGCAGGCTCGCTGACTAGGTTGGCACATGTCAACGTATCCCAATTTCGAACATCAATGCTCATGCTGTTGATCACTGGATTGTCTGGTCCAGACACGAGTATTTACTGTCATACTGACATACGTGGACTGTCTGATAATTACAAGAGCTGTTATCAGGTAAAAATGCATCCCCAAACCGTTAGAAAATTACATCACATTCAATATTTAGATTTTCGGTTATCCTAATGAGTGTTTTAAGGTTGGGAGAGCAATGGTGAAGAATGTCCCGAGTCGCAAGAAGGGGAAGAAAACAGTCGAAGGGAGTGAGTGAGGTTTTACGTCGCTGTTAGCAATATTCCAGCAATATCATGGCGGGGGACACCAGAAATGTCATTCACACATTGTACCCATACCCGCAGTAGTAATGATATACAGAACATATTGATCTTACATTGAAATCGACAAGGACACACATGAGTTCAAGGTCAGACACAGTAACAGTTATAACAAATCAAAATGATATATCGGAACATGTGATCAAGATCAATACAGGCTCGAATCATGTAAATAGACCTTTGACACGGGAAGCCAATCTCAAAGCCGACAATCTCAAATTGTCAAGGTAAATAGAGTCTGTCAGTTCAAAAGCATACCCTGTCTTGTTTATTCTCACAAACAAATTACAACATAATGTCTCTCAAGCTATCGCTGTAATAGTCTATTTCCTCTAATGAAGATATTATTCTAACTTCTTGAACGCCGTGACAATAGAATGCAAAATAATGCCATTACATCCTATATTTGGAGACCCTTAGATCAGGATTCTTTGCCTACTGAGCGTTCTCAGAATTTGCAGATGGAAATATATTGTCGTGTATACGGTAGATAAATCCTTGCGCTTATCTCCCATTAGTTAGACAGCAAATTATTAGACAGCCAGTTGTTAGACAGTGGAATAGGGTATTAATTAAGACAACACCCACATCCATAATGGTACAGCCCAATTAGATTGCTCCGACGATTAGAGTGTGCCAGTGGTTAATCGGTTCATGTTATTGTTGATTTTCTATTACAATGTTATGTGGTTGTAGCATGTGGTCTAATCTTTCTCATTTCACGCTTGATCTATTTAACCCTTGTCAAAATGTTTGGTTTAGTTTTATTAATTTTTTTCTCTAAACGTCAAGCAAACTAATTTTGGTGAGCACTTTGTCACAACTAGAAGGTAGGTATAAATAATTCCACATACACCTTGATGATGTATCAGCGTGGCTGAGTCGAATATGTCACTTTGCAGGGAGGGACTCAACAAATACCCCTGAACGGCTATCTACACAGCAGAAACAGTGTTAGACAGACAACCACTCGCTGGAGCTGTGTGAAGACCTGCACTGGAAGATGTTCCACTTCTGGGGAAGAACCATACCGGGCACCACCATCCTACAGAAGACACTGTACAATGAGAAAACGAGCAAGACGCGAGACCACGCAGATGCATACCATTTATAACGAGCAGTAAGAGGAAGAAAATGAAGACCAGATTCCTTCTCAAGCATTAGTAGTTCCCTGTACAGACATCGCCGCAAGACTCTACCTGCACTACCCCACTCACTTTCTGAAGTAGAACTGGAAGGAAGATGGAAAGAGACAACAGACGGTCGCCCTTTCCTTTCTTTCAGATGGTGACAAAGACAAGCTGCTCCTCTTTACCCTCGAAACAGTTAGAAGCTCTGCAAGCTGCTGAGATTCTCTACATGGGTGGGAAATTTACTGCCTGCCCAGAGATGTGGAATCAAGTCTACATCATCCATGCCCGAGTTGGTTCTGTACCGTATCCACTTGTTTATGTTCTGTTGCTTGATCTACAAGCTACGTGCACAAGACTGTCTCATCTCCTCAAGGCAAAGTGCTGGAGAACTTGAACCCTCCCTTAGCCCAAGCATGAATACATACTGACTTTGAGGTAGCTGCCATTCGAGCCATTGAGAGAGAATATATTTTATCATTCTGCATGGATTATTCCATTATCTATCTAAAGTAACAGGCAATTGCTTAGCTGTGCATTGAGCTAAAAGGTTTGTTGTTTTAAGCTAACCACTGGCAGGACACCATCAGCAGGCAATGTTGAAAGGCCGCACGATGTCACATATGCGTCAGATGGACGCGATGATGGCGGTGGATCATACAGTTCAGAAGGCGGCCAGAAAGATTACAAACAGACGTGTTATATGTGAGTAGTCCTATCATGTTCCTTCTATACACATTTAACTAATTTAACTAAGAGATGTGGACGCCATTGTACATGTACTTTACGAAGTATTGATCCACTTAATTAGTTTACTGTCTACTCGTCCTCAGGTGAGGAGCGGATCAATGCAAACAACGCCGTAGAATAATGCACCTCGAATATCTTCCACCAACAGAATCCATGTGGTGTAAAGGGGAACAATAAAGATGTAAATCAGTCCGTAAACTGGCGGCGCAATTAAAATCTTTGATGACTCCAGCTAGTCGCTGAAAGTTATCTTCTAATAGTAGCACTTTTACACAGGTTTTTCAGTAAAGTCTTACATACAAATCTGTAATGTTTTGGGAAAAGGGTGATATAGCCGTTCAACCCGCTGCATTCCGCTCTGATGAGGTGCGTGGTGGCAGAATCCTGTGATCGTTGATTCCAATTCTGGACTTCCTCATTTTGCATCTAGGTCCGTGTCTAGATCAGTATGTATAGACACCGCGCTTAGACATTCTCCTTGTGTCCGTGTTCTCTGAACGCCTACATATTAATTCATAAAGAAAGATACTTTATGGATGACAACATATATATATATGGTGCGACTGCCATGTCCCTGATACTCATAGAAGTCTACATAACCTCCTTTGAGCAGCAAGCACTCAGCACCTCACCCATCAAACATATCTGCTGGTACAGGAAGGTTGATGACACGTTTGTCATTCTACAACAAGACCCAGCAATCCTCCTGGAACACCTCAACCAACAGCACCCCCGGGTCTAGTTCACCATAGAAACAGAGACGAACGGCCAACTTCCCTTTCTAGATGTCCTCGTAACCAGAACCTCACCTAACAATATCAAACTAGTGTCGACAGAAAGCCAACCCACTCCGACCAATACATTCATTTGACTCCAACCATACCTTGAGAACTCAAATTTAAACAGGCATAATCTCCATCTTTAATCGAGCCATCAACACCTTTCCACCAGTCCTACTGCAGAACGTCAGCACCTCCGCCATGTTTTCACCAAGTTCAACCACTACTCATCCATGCTAGTCGACAAAATTATCAGCACCACACTTCAGCCAACAAGAAACCCGGCGACCAACAACCCTGAACCAGCACCCATCGTATCTCTCTGCCCTTTATAAGGAAGACCATCAGTCGTCTCCTGAAGCGACAAGCAGGCATCGAAACCTACTTTACCAGCTCTACACCACTGAAAACCCTACTGAGAGCTAATGGCAACCATTCGCATCATATATAATAAAGAAGTTGTCATCCATAAATAATCTTAATTTCCTATTACTCACCAACTTCTAAAATGCCAATCAAACAGATCAATATTAATTCAAGTTTTCCACAGTAAGATATCGTTTCCCCAGACATAATAAAACTGTAACCTACTCGTTTCTTGTGTAGAAATGAACAAGTAATATTTTTTATGAAGTTGTTAGTTTACATTTAAGTGCAGATATTTTCACTCTATTTTCACCTGCGTAGTAGCATTTTTAACAGTAAGTATAATATATTGCCTTCACTAAATCTTTAGAATTAATTAATCAGAACATATCTCACAGTCTGTATGGTTCCAGGTCTTGCCATCTTGGTGCTCTGCGTCTGCTTCATTGTTTTCATAAGCAAGCCTTCATATGAATGTATGTATCATTTACCATTTTAATATCATTTATCATATTTAATGATGCCAAGTATATAAAAAATAATGAATTTAACGATTGTAACTCATTTCCAAATATTGAAGTAGAAGATCTAGTTTGTCATGAAAAAGGTGTCTTTTTATTAATAAAACATGTAGAATAGTAATTAAATCAACGGTTACATGTCGTAAAATGAAGATATCAATGATGGATAAGTGCCTTGCTGTGGTGTTCTCATCGATTCTGATCAAAGCATACAGCGAGATATACGTACAGTAGGTTTGCAGTAAGAATTGACAAAATGTACTTCTTTTGTTACAGACGAATACATAGATTTGTCTCATCTTACAAATGTACCGGAAGAAATAGAACCAGGTAATAAAACCACATTTTTGGGCAGTGGTGCTCTTGCTTTTGTATGATGATTATGATGATGATGATAATGCACGCTTCTCCATATTTCCCTCCTTATGACAACTTCACATGTTTTGGCATTGTCGTTGTTGCCTTTGTATGATGATTATGATGATGATGATGATGATGATAATGATATAAGTGATAAACCCTCACTGCTTAAAGCAGACCAATGTCCGATAACAAGTATGACATATTTGAGCATGAGTTAATGAATCACAATGAAGTAGTGCTAACACCAGGTACCTCATGGATCAGAAACACATGCAAAGGTACGTCAAGATTTGCTGTCAGCTTTGGGTCACACCCCATGCATGCACAACTGCACACACGCACACGCACACGCACACACACACACACACACAAAAAAAACCACACAAACGTTAACTTAATGAGATAGTGAGATAGTAAGTATAATGATGAAATGGCGACACTGTAATACCACTGTATTTTCGCGTTGATTTCAGTTTTATTCGACAATATCACCTTTCGCAAGTTGTCTCATCTTAGAAATGTACCAAAAGAACGAGAACCAGGTAATGCAAGTTTCTCTGTACCTACCTCCTTATTACAACTAAACTTCACATAGTTCTGTAGCACTCTTTTGTTTGTGCTGTATCACTCTTTTGTTTGTGCTGCAGCGCTCTATTGTTTGTGCTGTACCACTCTATTGTTTGTGCTGTATCACTCTATTGTTTGTGCTGTATCACTCAATTGTTTGTGCTGTATCACTCAATTGTTTGTGTTGTACCGCTCTATTGTTTGTGCTGTACAACTCTATTGTTTGTGCAGTGCCACTCTATTGTTTGTGCTGTACCACTCTGTTGTTTGTTCTGTACCACTCTATTCTTTGTGTTGTACAGCTATTGTTTGTGCTGTATCACTGTATTGTTTGTGCTGTACCACTCTATTGTTTGTGCTGTATCAATATATTGTTTGTGCTTGTTGCTTGTGTAACACCACAGGCAGCAGGTTGATACACCACGCGCAGTAGAATGGCAGTGCATAGTATCAGAGTTTTGTACAAAGTACATTCATAATGCATGAACAGTCACCTCTTTCTTTTTGACTTGTCCGACTTTCCGAGTAAAACACACTATCAGACAGACAACTGTCTGAAGTCATGTGAATAATTATTGTGACGCTATTACAGTTAGCTTCAACGCCTTGCTGAAAGAGTACTCAAGGAAAGTTAGAGGTAAGTAAACGTTTGCTTCACATCAAGCAGTTGGTCGGATGTAATGGGAAATCTATGCGGTGCCGTACGTGCAAGGTGGTCTGCATGAAACTCGAGAGACGAAGGTTAAAGGCACTATATCTCTGAATAATACTAACTATCAACCCGCAGAGAAGCTACCATATAATTTTGGTTCAATAAGTGAACAATGGGTCAATCGCGTTGAAATGTATCATTTTTATACTTTCAAATAATAACGCATCTGTGAAAAACCGTGATTTGACAATATTCAATGAGGCATTGTCAGTGATCTACACAGTGTGTGACGAGTAACGATTGGTTGACGCCATCCGAATCAATTAGATCAACTCATTAAGATCTCATTTAGTTCTGGGATAAACATCCATAATATAATGGATGAGGTAAGTTTCATATTATTGTACTTACACTAATGTTTTCATGATCAAACAGATCTACAACTCGCGGGACAATGGGTGAACAATCAGGCGAAACCATGTGAAGAGGAATCAAACCCAGGTCAGACAAGTTATCAATTAACCGTTCGCCCTGTCAGTGTCGAATTGCAATTCTGAGAAACTCTCGATTATGCATCAAACATATTCCAAAATTGTAGAAAAGACAAAATAGTAATGAAAGTGGATGACAAATGGATCAGTAAAACAGTAAGTGCTGTGGCCAAGAAGATGCTGTCTGTTTGTTTGTTGTTTAACGCCTCACGGGTAAGTAGATACGGAAACACCACCATCAAAGGCAACGTGGCGTTTCAGTGAATTCTTCTGAATGGCATCCTTATAACTTGTGGAACGACCAGTGGTGAATTTGTGTTGTATAGGGGATGGTGTGTGTGTGTGTGTGTGTGTGTGTGTGTGTGTGTGTGTGTGTGTGTGTGTGTGTGTGTGTGTGTGTGTGTGTGTGTGTGTGTGTGTGTGTGTGTGTGTGTGTGTGTGTGTGTGTGTGTGTGTTTGAAGTCCAAATCCTCCATTTTCTTTTTATGACGTAACATAGGTGTGACCTTTGTGTGACCTAATCGATTGTTGAACCCCACCCTCTTTCGGGAGTCCGGCCTAGGTGTGTGTGTCACCTTCAGGTTCACCTTAGTGGTCCGTGATTATTATTCAATTATCTTATGAGTGGTATGAGTTTGCCGACTCGAGTGTTCACACAGCTTAGACTAATGCTTAGTCTCTGAATATATATAATTTTGATAGTAACAAACAAGCCCGTTTAAATTGAAAAGGAGCCCTAATGACCCCAGAGATTCAGAACCTGAGGAAATCCAGACTTGTTTTATTTAGGGCTTTAGCACTGCAGAGAGGGCATGGCAGTAGGGAAAATAATGTGGTTCAGGGACTATGAGACAGACTAAGCATACGTGTTCAATGTAGAATTATTATCACACAATGAGGGGGAATTTAGCTGTGATTTATAAGGTCAAAATATCACAGCTCATTTTGTTAAATCAAAGTTTAAAATACGCTGTCACACAAGGAACAAGTATTTTACATATCTGTCAACAATAAACGGTTGTAGCTTTTAAATTTCATGTGGGCCTGTATATGCGTGAATGGGGCCCTGTCTATAGGCATTAATACATAACACTATGCTATTCTGCATAGCAGAATCGCTTGCTCACTGAGCCGTCACTGAAGAGACATGTGACAGCTGTGATTGGATGAAATAGTGTAAGGTGTTATGTTTGTTAAAAGCACCTCCATCCAGTCATTAAAACTGACCACCATTTTTAAGTATTTAATGTTGTCATTTGTATCAATGATGCTTATGCGTGTACAAATTATGTTCAAGTAGGTGACAGTTGGTGCGGACCTGGGAGGGTTGATGTGTTTAGCTTCCTGTGTGTGGCTTCCTGTGCTCGCAAAGTTATCCGGTTCAAGTTGACCAGAAATTGTTTTATTGTAGGTTAAAGGTCAGACTGTAATCATGTGTACATGGTTGGTGATAATTTTCAGCGTGGTCACAAACGGTCAGCTTCCGCTGTTTAAAGGTCAGACTGTAATCATGAGTACATGGCATGGATAATTTTCAATGTGATGTTGAATGTATGCTGACAAGCGGTCAGCTTCCGTTATGTAGGGAGACAAGTGTCTGACCAGAATTAAATACAGGAAATAGTAAGCAGTTGACGACTGATGGTCACTGAATATCTCAAGTAGTTTGGTTGTACGGTGATGAAATGATTTAGCATTTGTCATATATATTACTGAATAAGAAATATGTGTTCTCCTGTAAAACTTTCACTTTTACTCAACATTTTAAAACTTTTACTTTCAAATTGCAAACATAAAAAAACACCCATCTTATGTCCATGTTTATGACACTTATTTGACATCATGTGACACATAGGTTACTCACATGCCGTTAGTCGCCTCTTACGACAAGCATGGGTTACTGAAGTGTAGCCCAGACCTTCATGGGTACAATACATTAAGAAACAAGAAAGATATACAGATTTCATTGTTTATTAGCTCTCTTTCAAATGATTAGGCTTTAGGATAGGAGCTCTCCCAAATGTCTACTTTAATTGTATTATTGCCCTTCCTCAACGTCCGGCCCTTCACTCTCTACATCAGATGTCATGTCTTCATAATCATCATCGATTAAGTCTTCTACCCAAGATTTATATTGGTACAGTTTGGAAAACACGTCATGATACATATTATTTGTGTCTTTTACTCGTTTCAGTATTCCTTGTGTCTTTGGTCCATACTGCATATGGTACAGATAAGTAATAAATAGGGCATACGTCTCTTTAAACGTGCTCCAGATGAATTTCTTCAGTTTGGCTTGAATCATGTCTTCGTTTAAACCTCTTTTCATGTACAGCTGTCGTTTCTCATCCAAAAAAGTGTTTATTCAGCTCACGCGTCCGTGAATACATTTGTCTTATACCTTGCTCCTCGAGATCAACTATGTTATTTTTCCTGTTGCCATGTGTGACATCGTTTAACGATTCATCATCCTCATCAGTTTCCATTGCAGGACATTGTGTATCATGTAAATGTCTTTGTAAGTTGTGGTTATTGCTAAACACTTGACCACAATAGTCACAATCTGACAGAGGACGTGGTCTCTTCACAGGAGAGAAGTTGTCGTCTTCCTCCCACTTCCTTTTCACTTGGGGTATTCCAGGTGGACCCACTGAAGACTTTTCAGGACACCAGTTTCTTCTGTGTTTTTGCAATCATGCACATCTTGAAACACGAGTCCACAGTCATCACAAGATGGCATTGTTGGGAGGTTTTCTTCACACATCTGCTCACTCTGAACGTCTAACTCGGACTGAATTGTCCTAGCTTGGAGGCCTCCTTTTAAACTGAATACGTTGGGACAAAGTCGCAAATGGGGAGGTGTTTGGGGTTTTAGATCAACCAACAAGTATCCATAAGGTTTCTGGGTGGCCCTTTGAAATGGCTCCATGAAGTGGTCTGTGTTACCTGGAAACATTTGCCTCGCCAAAGTCATGATGGGTTGTTGGTCAATAGGGTTGTTGAACAGAAGCAGATAATCACAGTTTCTTCGTTGTGTGGGATCCTTACTGTAATACAAATTCTGGTTCAAGGATATCACTGAGAGATTACGATGATGACTTCCTTCGGTAAAAGATCTGTAATGCGTGGATCTTTGCCGGCAGTAGACATTAAGTCATCGAGGATAACCACGTTCACAACTCTGGGGTCCAGAAATGCATCCTTTTCGAGATCAGAAGGAATGCCTTGATGAAATTCCACATAGGGATAAACATGGGTTTGAATGGCATTATACAAGGGCTGCCATCGTTTGTGGAGCCATATAATACGTTCAGGATAAGGTTTAATGTTCATCCTTTCTAGAAGCTGTTTCACTAAGTAGGTTTTCCCACAGGAGGTGGGCCCTGAGACGATCATGGTGAATGGATGTTGCAGCCTTAATTCTTCCAATGACTGGGTAGTACTTTCTGATGAATGTGGTTGCACTGGTTGTTGCTGCTGCTGCTGCTGTAGTTGCTGATGCTGCTGATGATGTTGCCAAGTTGGCATTAATGAAAGAGGAGGTCCATGAGGTGGTGGTGATGCTTGTGGTGGTGGTGATGGTGGTTGAGGAGGACGAGGAGGAGGGAGTTGTTGATGTTTCTGTCTTCTATGTCTCAACATATTGTCTGTCCTGGAAAAAGTCTGATAGCACACGGGACACGTTGGTGACTGCATAGTGGCCCGAGTCTAAATGGCAGGGAACCATGTCTACTGACTGCTTTTATCTAAAAAGTCGTCTTCCGTTTCTTCATGGGAATCTGGGAGGAACTTCCAACTTTAGATCCCCCTTTCTTCTGCATCTGAATAAGAGCCTTGGCTTGTTCGACCACTTGTTGAGTAGGGGTAACAAAATTAATCTTAGGTTGTTCTGAGGTTTCTTTTGGTTTATCTTTCTTCCACTTTGGGTCATACAGTTCCAAGTATCGATCGACAGACATCGTGGCAGATTTTTCTCCTCCATGCATTATAATATGATAAAAGGATCTCCTTTCCCTTCAGCCCTGAGCATGTAAAATCGTGTCCATTTTTCGGCATCGGGTACGAAGAGTTTGTATTGTGGATTATTCATGATGAAAACGGGAGCGGCTTGAGGTGATGCGTCACTGTCACTGGTCCACGGCTAAATGAAGTTAGATAGCCCTTGTGGCCTGTTATATAGATATCTTCATTGACCTTGGGCTTGGTGTAGCTTTCAACATCGCTGCCAGGATGGTCATACATGCTCTTTCCCCGGATTGACAAACCTAAGACGGGTGTACCAGATGTACTAAGCCAATGCTCTATCAAACAACCAGGCATTTTGAATGGCCTCATCTCTAAGTGCATTGACAAACTGTGGTTTCAAAACAAATGCTACGATTGGCATGTTACTGGCAAAAAGACTCTTCCACATACTGTCTGTCGTCCAAAGGGGGTGAACTAATCTTCGTAACACAGCTAGGTAGTTATTTCTATCATTTTTCCTCAGGAAACGACGCCTTTCATATCGAGTCACTGGTAACCTTCCCTTTAATAACCTATTGATAATACCATTGACGGCAAGAATCTGTTTGCTGTTCATTTCTAAGATGTCTTGTCGAATCTCCTCAATGTCTTGAAACATTAACATGAACCTTAAAAATTCGTAATGTTTCAACACGTACCTAGCCATACTAATTCTGGCAAACAAGCTCTTATCGTGGTTGGGATATCAATGAGATTAGTATTTGAGTAAACCTCTATTTATACATCGACAAAAGACTATACATAGACAACCAATGCATATATATACCCTTAACAGTGATTTATTTCTAATATTCACACATTTTACATCACACTCTTGGTTGCAAATCCACATGACTACCCCCAGTGGGCCATATTTTTCTGAGGTACTCCCACCAGGGCCAAATACGGACAGTCTGGAGACCATTTTTCATGTTCGACCCAGGGATCGTCATCTACTTCCCAGTTCTTGAGAACGAGACCACATTGAAAACACTTGCAAGTGTCCCCCCTGATTAAGTACACAAATCCTGCCTGGGCCATGCGACTAGGACTCTGTTTCATCTGCACTGGCCAGTCCTTAAACGAATCTAGTCTTTTCTGGAATGAAAGATTGCACAGCAATCGAGTGTCTTGTCGAGTGGGTAATGTCCACACACATCCATGATATCCCAGAACAGTGGTAACACGTCCGCACAGTACAGTGTCTAAACCAAGAATGGCTTTACACCCAACGACTGTAGTCACTAGGGCTAAAGAAGGAACACATTCTTGTCGTAAGAGGCGACTAACGGCATGTGAGTAACCTATGTGTCACATGATGTCAAATAAGTGTCATAAACATGGACATAAGATGGGTGTTTTTTTATGTTTGCAATTTGAAAGTAAAAGTTTTAAAATGTTGAGTAAAAGTGAAAGTTTTACAGGAGAACACATATTTCTTATTCAGTAATATATATGACAAATGCTAAATCATTTCATCACCGTACAACCAAACTACTTGAGATATTCAGTGACCATCAGTCGTCAACTGCTTACTATTTCCTGTATTTAATTCCGGTCAGACACTTGTCTCCCTACATAACGGAAGCTGACCGCTTGTCAGCATACATTCAACATCACATTGAAAATTATCCATGCCATGTACTCATGATTACAGTCTGACCTTTAAACAGCGGAAGCTGACCGTTTGTGACCACGCTGAAAATTATCACCAACCATGTACACATGATTACAGTCTGACCTTTAACCTACAATAAAACAATTTCTGGTCAACTTGAACCGGATAACTTTGCGAGCACAGGAAGCCACACACAGGAAGCTAAACACATCAACCCTCCCAGGTCCGCACCAACTGTCACCTACTTGAACATAATTTGTACACGCATAAGCATCATTGATACAAATGACAACATTAAATACTTAAAATGGTGGTCAGTTTTAATGACTGGATGGAGGTGCTTTTAACAAACATAACACCTTACACTATTTCATCCAATCACAGCTGTCACATGTCTCTTCAGTGACGGCTCAGTGAGCAAGCGATTCTGCTATGCAGAATAGCATAGTGTTATGTATTAATGCCTATAGACAGGGCCCCATTCACGCATATACAGGCCCACATGAAATTTAAAAGCTACAACCGTTTATTGTTGACAGATATGTAAAATACTTGTTCCTTGTGTGACAGCGTATTTTAAACTTTGATTTAACAAAATGAGCTGTGATATTTTGACCTTATAAATCACAGCTAAATTCCCCCTCATTGTGTGATATTAATTCTACGTTGAACACGTATGCTTAGTCTGTCTCACTGTCCCTGAACCACATTATTTTCCCTACTGCCACATGCCCTCTCTGCAGTGCTAAAGCCCTAAATAAAACAAGTCTGGATTTCCTCAGGTTCTGAATCTCTGGGGTCATTAGGGCTCCTTTTCAATTTAAACGGGCTTGTTTGTTACTATCAAAATTATATATATATATATTCAGAGACTAAGCATTAGTCTAAGCTGTGTGAACACTCGAGTCGGCAAACTCATACCACTCATAAGATAATTGAATAATAATCACGGACCACTTGAACCTGAAGGTGACACACACACCTAGGCCGGACTCCCGAAAGAGGGTGGGGTTCAACAATCGATTAGGTCACACCTATGTTGCGTCATAAAAAGAAAATGGAGGATTTGGACTTCAACCCCACCCCTTACAACAAATGTGGTACTCATTAAACGGTGTTATGCATATCTGGCTCCTTGCAGATGGGGCCTGTGTTGAACCAAGCTGTCCAGCACCCCAGTCCACAACACTGGAAGAAAACCTGAGAAGTGTCCTGTCTACCATGTCGGAACGGAATCTACGGGATCTGGACATATTAATGAGACGGTTCCCAGAGCCCCCTACCGGCAAAAGAACAATGTTTGTCACAGCAACATCCAGCAACCACTTCTACGAGTCCCAGGCCCTGATCCGGAACCTCCACAGGAATGTCTTCCCTCTGATTAATAACTACACATTTGTGCTCTATGATCTGGGACTGACGGCCTCTGAACGAAAGCAGGTGAAGCCCATGATATGTTCTCTGATACATTTACCTGTTATTTGTAGTCTCTGTATGATGATCAGTATTGACTAATGTTAACTATGCAACATGTTTACCACTGCTGGCACAAAGAGGAAATACCACCGGCAAGCAAAAATAGTGTCACTGACAAACAACATATGTTATATTTGGGATTCCACTTTCTTAGTAAAGTACAAATTCTAGTCCTTTTTTTAGTTGAACTCACACCCTGAGAGTCAGGCACCTAATCACCATCACACAAAGTCAGCCGCCTAACCCGCTCAGCTACCGCGACTTTGTGCGGCTGACTTTGTGTGCTGGTGATTAGGTGTCGACTCTCAGGGTGTGAGTTCGAATCCCGGATGGGGCTCAACTAAAAAAAGTACAAGAATTTGTACTTTACTAAGAAAGCGTAATCCCAAATATAACATATGTTACATTTAACTACTTTCTAAATGGCATTGTGTAATCACGAAAAACAACACTTCAAGAAATAGTTTCGATTTCAATGTAATGCAAAACAGTCACACAATTTAACAGTCACAAAACAAGTACATTATGAACATAATACAATACAAGTACGTAATGAACATTATATAAAACATTGTCATGAACACCACGCAAAACAGTTACAGAAAGAAGATGATATACAAGAATTACATAATACAAACCGGTTACACAATGAACATAATGCAAAAAGGAAATGACCTAATGAACATAATACAAAACAATGACACAATAAAAATAAGGCAAAACAATTACATAAATAACATAATACAAAACAATGCCATAGTAAACGTAATACAATTACATTGTTAACATTAAACAAAATAATAACACAATGAACATAATACAAAACAATAACATATATGTAGTGAACATAATACATAAACCAATGACATAATGAACGTAACACAAAACAATGACATACCTATTCTGAGCATAATACAAAACAATTACCATGAACGTAATAGAAAACAATGACACAATGACCATAATACAATTGCATAATTAACATAATACAAAACAATGAACATAATGCAACCAGTTACAAAAGAAACATAATACAATACAATGACATAATGAACATAATACAATGACATAATGAACATAATACAATACAATGACATAATGAACATAATACAATACAATGACACAATGAACATAATTCGAAACAATGACATATGAACATAATACGAAACAATGACATAATGAACATAATACGAAACAATGACATAATGAACATAATACGAAACAATGACATATTGAACATAATACGAAACAATGACATAATGAACTTAATACGAAACAATGACATAATGAACATAATACGAAACAATGACATAATGAACATAATACGAAACAATGACATAATGAACATAATACGAAACAATGACATAATGAACATAATACAAAACAATGACATATTGAACATAATACGAAACAATGACATAATGAACATAATACGAAACAATGACATAATGAACATAATACAATACAATGGCATAATGAACCTGATACGAAACAATGACATAATGAACATAATACGAAACAATGACATTATGAATGTAGTACAATACAATGACATAATGAACATAATACGAAACAATGACATAATGGACAAAATACGAAACAATGACATATTGAACATAATACGAAACAATGACATAATGAACATAATACGAAACAATGCCGTAATGAATGAACAAATGAAATAATGAACATAATACGAAACAATGACATAATGAACATAATACGAAACAATGACATAATGAACATAATACGAAACAATGACATAATGAACATAATACGAAACAATGACATAATGAACATAATACGAAACAATGACATAATGAACATAATACGAAACAATGACATAATGAACATAATACAAAACAATGACATAATGAACATAATACGAAACAATGACATAATGAACATAATACGAAACAATGACATAATGAACATAATACAATACAATGGCATAATGAACCTGATACGAAACAATGACATAATGAACATAATACGAAACAATGACATTATGAATGTAGTACAATACAATGACATGATGAACATAATACGAAACAATGACATAATGAACATAATACGAAACAATGACATTATGAATGTAATACAAAACAATGACATTATGAACATAATACAAAACAATGACAAAATGAACATGATACTAAACAATTGCACAATGAACATTACACAAAACAATGACATAATGAATGTAATACGAAACAATGACATGATGAACATAATACGAAACAATGACATAATGAACATAATACGAAACAATGACATAATGAACATAATACGAAACAATGACATAATGAACATAATACGAAACAATGACATTATGAATGTAATACAAAACAATGACATTATGAATGGAATACAAAGCAATGACACAATGACCATAATACGAAACGATTTCAAAGCAACCACATAATGAACATAACCATCTTGTTCCTATACACATGAATACACGTATATCAGGGGCGGTCAGGTAGCCTAGTGATTAAAGCGTTCGCTCGTCACGTCGAAGACCTGGGTTCTATTCCCCACATGGGTACAATGTGTTGCGCCCATTTCTGGTGTCCCCGGCCATGATATTTCTGGAATATTGCTAAAAGCGGCGTAAAACCATTCTCACTCACTCACTCACTAATTAGTTGACTTGTTTTTGCATGTGTTTGTGAAGCGTGGCTCCGGCGGGGCAGGATATATTCACCGTTTGGTATCATCACTTTGTGATTTTGTCATAAACACATTCTTATAATGAATACGGAATGGTACCGCGGAACGACGATTATGGAAATGGTTTTGTCCCCTTTTTTCACAGATGGAGAAACATTGTCGTTGTGAAGTTCGGAGATTTCCACTGGAGTCCATACCTTCAAGGTTGCGGGATCTGCAATGCTACTCATGGAAACCAATTATTATACAGGTGTGCTCTTTTCTGTTGCCGTACATTAACATGTGCATTTTCAGGAGAAAATATAATATTCATTAAACACATTCTAGTATAAGATGTATATAGACTTTTTGCAAACTGTGACATATGATTCTTGCTCAACGTTTTTTTGGCCAGGGTTAGTGTCTTCAAAGCCTACATGAAGTTTTCAAAACGTTTTATGGTGGACATGTGTTTTGTATTTCCTTAGTTTGGCGCATCAGTGACCGAAATGGTGTCTGGTGCAATTCTCATTTTCGACTTGTACCATATATCAACAACAGCTCAGATACATTTTCTCCCTCTGTTGTTGTAGGCTAACCTACATAAGGCAGACATACTGTTATGGATGGACGCGTCTGTAACATCTTGGAATAGGTTTCCATGTGGCTGTGGTAGATTCGGGCTAACCTACTTCAGAAAGACATATTAGAGTGGATGGACGCGTCTGTAGCATCTTAGGATAGGTTTGCATCTAGTTGTTATACTTTCAGGTTAACCTACATAAGGCAGACACGCTGGTGTGGCTGGACGCGTCTGTAACATCTTAGGATAGGTTTGCATGTGGCTGTGGTACTTTCAGGCTAACCTCCATAAGACAAACATACTGGTGTGGATGGACGCGTCTGTAACATCTTAGTATAGGTTTGCATCTAGTTGTTGTACTTTCAGGTTAACCTACATAAGCAAGACACGCTGGTGTGGATGGACGCGTCTGTAACATCTTAGGCTAGGTTTGCATGTGGCTGTGGTACTTTCAGGCTAACCTACATAAGACAGACATACTGGTGTGGATTGACTCGTCTGTAACATCTTAGGATAGGTTTGCATCTAGTTGTTGTACTTTCAGGTTAACCTACATAAGCAAGACACGCTGGTGTGGATGGACGCGTCTGTAACATCTTAGTATAGGTTTGCATCTAGTTGTTGTACTTTCAGGCTAACCTACATAAGACAGACATACTGGTGAGGATGGACGCGTCTGTAACATCTTAGTTTAGGTTTGCATCTAGTTGTTGTACTTTCAGGTTAACCTACATAAGCAAGACACGCTGGTGTGGATGGACGCGTCTGTAACATCTTAGGCTAGGTTTGCATGTGGCTGTGGCACTTTCAGGCTAACCTACACAAGGTGGACATACTGGTGTGGATGGACGCGTCTGTAACATCTTAGTATAGGTTTGCATCTAGCTGTTGTACTTTCAGGTTAACCTACTTAAGACAGACATACTGGTGTGGATGGACGCGTCTGTAACATCTTAGTATAGGTTTGCATCTAGCTGTTGTACTTTCAGGTTAACCTACATAAGACAGACATACTGGTGTGGATGGACGCGTCTGTAACATCTTAGGATAGGTTTGCATCTAGCTGTTGTACTTTCAGGTTAACCTACATAAGACAGACATACTGGTGTGGATGGACGCGTCTGTAACATCTTAGGATAGGTTTGCATCTAGTCGTTGTACTTTCAGGCTAACCTACATAAGGCGCAGACATACTGGTGTGGATTGGACGCGTCTGTAACATCTTAGGATAGGTTTGCATCTAGTTGTTGTACTTTCAGGCTAACCTACACAAGACAGACATACTGGTGTGGATGGACGCGTCTGTAACATCTTAGGATAGGTTTGCATCTAGTTGTTGTACTTTCAGGCTAACCTACATAAGGCAGACATACTGGTGTGGATGGACGCGTCTGTAACATCTTAGTATAGGTTTGCATCTAGTTGTTGTACTTTCAGGCTAACCTACACAAGGTGGACATACTGGTGTGGATGGACGCGTCTGTAACATCTTAGGATAACATCTTGTAGTTTGCATCTAGCTGTTGTACTTTCAGGCTAACCTACACAAGGTGGACATACTGGTGTGGATGGACGCGTCTGTAACATCTTAGTATAGGTTTGCATCTAGTTGTTGTACTTTCAGGCTAACCTACATAAGGCAGACATACTGGTGTGGATGGACGCGTCTGTAACATCTTAGTATAGGTTTGCATCTAGTTGTTGTACTTTCAGGCTAACCTACATAAGGTTGTAAGGCATACTGGTGTGGATGGACGCATCTGTATCTTAGTATAGGTTTGCATCTTAGGCTATAGGTTTGCATCTAGTTGTTCTGTACTTTCAGGCTAACTTACATAAGGCAGACATACTGGTGTGGATGGACGCGTCTGTAACATCTTAGTATAGGTTTGCATCTAGTTGTTGTACTTTCAGGCTAACCTACACAAGGTGGACATACTGGTGTGGATGGACGCGTCTGTAACATCTTAGTATAGGTTTGCATCTAGTTGTTGTACTTTCAGGCTAACCTACATAAGGCAGACATACTGGTGTGGATGGACGCGTCTGTAACATCTTAGTATAGGTTTGCATCTAGTTGTTGTACTTTCAGGCTAACTTACATAAGGCAGACATACTGGTGTGGATGGACGCGTCTGTAACATCTTAGTATAGGTTTGCATGTAGGTTTGGCTAACATCTGTGTTGTTGTACTTTCAGGTTAACCTAACCTACAAGGTGGACATACTGGTGTGGGTGGACGCGTCTGTAACATCTTAGGATAGGTTTGCATCTAGTTGTTGTACTTTCAGGCTAACTTACATAAGGCAGACATACTGGTGTGGATGGACGCGTCTGTAACATCTTAGGATAGGTTTGCATCTAGTTGTTGTACTTTCAGGCTAACCTACATAAGGCAGACATACTGGTGTGGATGGACGCGTCTGTAACATCTTAGGATAGGTTTGCATCTAGTTGTTGTACTTTCAGGCTAACCTACATAAGGCAGACATACTGGTGTGGATGGACGCGTCTGTAACATCTTAGTATAGGTTTGCATCTAGTTGTTGTACTTTCAGGCTAACCTACACAAGGTGGACATACTGGTGTGGATGGACGCGTCTGTAACATCTTAGTATAGGTTTGCATCTAGTTGTTGTACTTTCAGGCTAACCTACATAAGGCAGACATACTGGTGTGGATGGACGCGTCTGTAACATCTTAGTATAGGTTTGCATCTAGTTGTTGTACTTTCAGGCTAACCTACACAAGGTGGACATACTGGTGTGGATGGACGCGTCTGTGAGGTTCTCCAACAATATCATCAAACCCCTGCTAGATGATGCAGAGAGACGAGGCATGGTGTTAGCCTCAGGGACCAACTCTGTTGGGCAGCATACTCTACAGGTTACAATGAACTACATGAAGGAAGACGTCTGCACCCTAGCTCCAGTGTTAGAGCATGAAGCAACATTCATCATGTTTCACAATAAGCAGTGGGTACGAGAGGCCGTTGTGAAACCATGGGCAGTTTGTGCCGTGAGTGATAAGTGCATGTGTCCTCGGGATCCAGAATACGATACCTACTGTAACGTGCACATCCACAAGTACAAGAAGTGTCATCGTTATGACCAAACTGCAATAAACATCATACTCGCCAAGCTTTTTCGGGACCACACAAGTAGTTTTCTTTCGCTGTACTACGACTATGTCAGTTTACTGCGTGGTGATACGTATCGGTATTTTGATGAACTTGAGGAATGGCAAGCAGTGCCAGCTGGTCGTCGCCCTTGACAACAAATCTGTAGTACTGTCTTCTTAGCCTTGCTCAGGGCTTGGTGTAAACGAGACATTCTAATACCTTCGGAGACATTCTGCGTATTCTGAGACATTCTAATACACTGGGAGACATGCTGCGTATTCGGAGACATTCTAATACATTCTGAGACATTATAACTTCTGCGTATTCTGAGATTGAGTTATTGTGACTATTCTGAGACTTTCTGAGCCATTCCTTCATTCTGCACATTCTGAGTTTTTATGAGACATATGTAGAATAAAGACATTCTGGTACTTCAGAACTTTTCATTCTAATACATACGGACACATTCTGCGTATTCTGAGTCATTCTAATACATTCGGGGTATTCTTTGTCATTCTAATACATTGGGAACCTTTCTGCGTATTCTGAGTCATTCTAATGCACTCGGAGACATACTACGTATTCTGATATTGAGTTATTGTGACTATTCTGAGACTTTCTGAGCCATTCTGCACATTCTGAGTTTTTATGAGAGATATGTAGAATAAAGACATCCTGGTACTTCGGAACTTTTCAGAACCGAATGATATTAAGAAAAGGAACCTCGAAAGTATGAAACCTCTTTCGCCAGGATGAAATCTATCAATCTAACACGAAATTGAGGCATAACTGTTATAGACGTACAATCCAAGAAAGACATGGCTATGGATTTTTACTTTCAATAATACTGAATAAATTCACCTAACAGAGAGCTTTCATTTCGAATCTTGTGTGTCGAATGACTTTGGTTCCGTCTGAAAAAGAGTTGTGAAGATGTCCTTTCCCGAGTCATTAGCATCGGTTGCTATGGAAAAACAGCAAGAGACTTTTATTCACTTGTGTTGGCAGTGTCCATTTGTAGATTCATTTTGGAATAACTTCCATAGATGCTTGACACACAAATGTGACCATATATTCAATCTGGAGCTCTCTGCTGAACTTGTTATGTTTGGATGTGACTCGAGTACTGTCACAGCTGCTGTTTTTGACCTCTTACTATTGATGGCTAAATTCGTTGTGTATAAATGTTGGTGTCAAGGGGTAAAACCACACATTGGTGGTTTTTGAGAAAGTGTGTTAACAGAGGTGTTCTATTGAGAAAATTAGCTTCTCAAGCAGAAACAAACTCAATACATTTTGCACAAAGTGGGCATTCTTTCAGTCCACCTTTCAGTCAATCTAGCCTAAGTATAAGTGAAAAGCAGACATATAGGAAAAGCTAGCTGTTTATTTTAAAGATACAACAGTATTAGTATGAATGTGAAAGTGAATGAGGTTTTTTTTTTCTTCTTCTTTTTTTAAGAAAATGTCAGAATTTCTGTCAATAAGCTTTTATACTGTACAAATGAGAGTCCCCATTTCCCTGGAAGCGACCATCAATCTTGTAACAGGAACCTTCTGACAATACAAACATTGAAATTGAAAATAAAAATGAAAACAGCGAGAATCTGGGGAGGCGGAAAATGGACTATGACCAAGACACAAAAGATGCCATTTGAGTGCATTACAGATACACTGGTTTTTGGTGGTTTAAGTTTATATGGTCTTGTATGATTACCATACAAACTTTAAGGTCGTTTGCTTTCTTGTTTGATTATACACATTCAACTATTGAAACACCTGAAGCCTATTTTCGTTAGAGGACATCAACAGTTTGAATGAGCCATACAAATAACAACCGCCAAAGTCTAATATATCCTTTATGCTCTAAACCTATTCAGATTGTTGTTCAGGTAATTGTTTGCGATGCACATCTGAAAAAATATGCCAATGATATACATAATTAAGAAATTAAGATAATCTCGTTTTGACCAGAATGCAGTCATTTATTCCTTTATACTAGCCGACAAAAGGATAGATCTATCTATTTATTTATCTATCTATATATATTAAAAGTTCGCAGGTATGCATTTAGATAGATTTAACAAAATAAAACAGCCAATTTCACTCTTTCATGTTTCATTAATTTCTGCAGAGAGTAAATTAATGAGACACGTGGGAGTGAAATTGGTTCTGTGTTTTCTTTCAATCTATTTAAATATTGTATATATACGAAGCTTCTTTCTTTGCCGGTTAGAGCGTCCGCTCGGCATTAATGGGTACAACAAGGACTGGTCGGCTCGGAGTCAGTATACTGTGTCTGAGTGGGGTATTCATGCTTCACTGCGGCATGGTATCTCAGTGAGCTAGCACTATAAAACCAGCTTAAGTCTGGGCTAGAACAAGCAGACGCACATACACATACACACGCATGCACGTCGTCATATGAGCGAAATATTCTCAAGCACGACGTTAAACCCAATTTCACCTCACCTCACCTCACCTCTTTCTTGCCGTTTAGTGGCTGGTGTGACAGATGTGTTTTCCCCAACCCAATAGAAACTCACAAATGCTTTGATTTAAATTTTGGGACTAGATTTTCCAAATCATCCAGTGTCACCTCAAGCTCGGCTGTAGTGATCTAAACGCAGATAGATATAATCGACATATATCGGAAACATCCAAGTGTTCATGTGGTCATTATCGAAGACGTTATTCACTACCTATTCACATGTCGCAACTATCAAAATTTAAGAACAACTATGTATTTTTATGTTCACGAATGCGATGTTAAAACTACTCTATACGGTAACGGCACATTGAATAACCCAACTAAAGAATGGTCGGAAATAGAAAAAAACTGTTTTTAGGTTCTGACTCTGTATCCCTAAAATTTACACAACTACAAATAGCATATGTCGAAATAACCCACTTAGGCCTAACTTGGCATTCAGTGGGATGCCTAATAGGATATCCAGAAAAGCATGTTTACTCGTAAAATCGGTCAAAACTTCGAAAAAATACGAATAGCTGCTGAAAACAATAAATCAGACTATAGATGGCAATCAGGTCGCTCAGCCAGGTATGACGACGGACCGTCGACTCACCTGGCATGAAATGCCTGTGCTGCCTACAGGCACAAGGGGTCATCTCAAAGATATTTTGTGCTTTTTTCATGTGTGTTGACTGTCTCATCTATTGATTAACAGCTTAAGTGTCTTTCTTTCATAAGGTTTATGTTGAGATATGTAAAAGAGTTTGATACCTGATAACCATAGAAACGCATCGTATTAAATGTCTCAAAATATATAGGTGGCATGACCACCCGATCGCGAAGATCGACAGGACTGGATATTATTTGTAAATTGTTATGACATGCCGTGTACTTCCCCAGTATAATTGCCCTAAAGGATTATCGTATCTTAGCTGATATCTCTATCCCCAAGCCCGACCCCAACGATCGTCTGCGACACCCGTCCAGGTTTTGCTTTTGAGACGAACCCTCCTATCTGTTTCTTTCCATAGTGACAGTGAGACTCCATGGTAGCTACATCCTTAATAGTTTCAGCATGGACGTTATGATTTTTTACGCCAGCTATCGTTTATAATGAAGCTACGTCTAATTTCAAATTGGTCACTCAAAAAGTGTCCTTTATAATACAATATCGTCGCACACTAATTTGCATACAGCCATGGTCTGTTCCAAATAATTAGTTTTGGCCTTGGAAAAAATCGCATTGCTCATTCCTGCACTAATCTCGAGCTCTCCTCAGTAAAGTCTTTTTCTACGTTTCTTGTGTCCCTACCATTGAGACTGTAGTTAGGCCGAACTTAGTTTAAAGAGATATTTCACACTTGCACATATCAACTACATAAATTGTAGAGATAAATGAGATAATACATTTTTTCTATTTCCGACAGTAATACTAACATTCTCACTATTACAGTTCATCATTTCTAAAGTAACCGCTTCCAGTGATAACCACTACATATACTCAATGTACCTCAAGTTTATATTAATTGGAATTTCTGTTGCAGCTCATTTCGTTGCTAGGCATAACTATAACATAACAAACATGTTCGTTATTCAATCATATATCTTATATAATGTATGATGTTCTCTCAGTATTATTCTTCTGTTGTTAAAGGCCCGTGAAGATCCGGGGTAGAATTGGTCTTCAGCAACCCACGCTTGCCACAAAAGGCGACTATGCTTGTCGAAAGAGGCGACTAACGGGATCGGGTGGTCAGGCTCGCTGACTTGGTTGACACATGTCATCGGTTCCCAATTGCGCAGATCGATGCTCATGCTGTTGATCACTGGATTGTCTGGTCCAGACTCGATTATTTACAGACCACCGCCATATAGCTGGAATATTGCTGAGTGCGGCGTAAAACTAAACTCACTCACTCACTCTGTTGTTAAATTATTTCTATGTATCCAGCTATTTGAACAATGTACTGGAGCGGCGTTTATATAAGCCACAAGGCTTGTTCGCCTATCCAAGTTTCGGTTTTGGCGAAATAAAAATATGTTTAAACCAGATATGTTTTCATTGAAAGTAATTAAGTATGCACAACAAACTATCACTTGGATGTATGTCCTAATTTCCATACAGGTCGCCGGTTCGATCCCCGGCTACGTCATTACCAAATTTATATGGTGCTAGTTGTTCCCTGCCTGGCGCTCGGCATTAATGGGTACAACAAGGACTGGTCGGCACGGTTACAGGCCGGGAGAGCCACATTTCCAGAAACAGATAGCCTAAATTGATGTGGCTCTCCCAATAGTTACGCAACATGGAATGTGGCTCTCCCGGCGGTTATCTCCCATTTGACAGACACCCATTTGGCAGACACCCAGTTGGTAGACACTGAGCAAGAAGGTTAATTAGGGTAACACCTGGGTATAATGGAACAGTCCACAGTCTAGTGAGTGGAGGAGGTGGAGGAGGCTGAGGTTCGTTATTGAGAGCTTGGTTTGGTTGAGTGTAAATAAACTTTGTTGTAAGTAAATGATAATCTGTTTTTTCTTCTCGAAGTTGTTTTTACTATCAATTACTATCGAATAGAGGTTTGTCACTGTGTTTACACAGAACATGGTCGCCGATTAATGATAATCTGTCTTCTCTCCTCACTTTGTTTTAGTATCAATTGATCTTTGAATGAGGAA